CACCGTATTTTATCTAACCATTTCCAGATACTGTTTGTCTTATATGTCCTTATGCATGTTCTTGTTGTCGATCCGTCCATAGAATTCCATACCTAGTTTTCGACACTCCCAAGTTCTTTTATATATCTCTGTTAAATCTATAAATATCTATCCTTGACTACAAAAAAGCCTCTCTTTACACCTATCTTTGTACTAATCATCCAAGAATTTTCTCCTCCCTAAATCATATACCTCCAATCCAAATATAAACCAGTAGAAAAATAAATTACATCTCGCATAATTTCAAGAAACAGAAAGCAAAAGCAAACAATTGAAAATACAGGAAAAAGGGACTGACTTTTCACGAACATAGGCGACTGGGGCGAGTATACAGAGACCAAGAAGGTCTCTAAACACACAGAAAACGATCTGATTGATTCCCACATTAAGAGCTACTTTAGTAATCACATGGTACCCTCCATTGAAGACCTGAACCAAAGCCAATGCCAGATGGGCTCTCCAAGCTTCATTGTTGTTAGCGTTATTAATAGGACCAGCACTAACTCCTGGTAATACTGCTGCCATCTTCAACACCATATAAACCCTCCTCCGCTCTTCCCTCTACTGTTAACACATGAAAAAGAATTATCCACTGATTAATCGGAAATTTTGAAAAAAGGGATGGTTGGTGGTAGCAAATGAGAGGATGGGCGGCCCTTGGACTGGAGTTTAAGTCGGCAAAACAGAGGATTTGTGGAAGGTGGGATTGTTGTCTCTTTGTGTGTGTACTGCGTGTACAGTTTGTGATCTCTGATGGGATTTTGGTTTTAGGAGACTTTGTTAACGTTGTTTTCACGATGTCTTGTGGGGTTTGAAGGTGAGGTATAGGGAGCATTTCGGTCACAAAATGCTTACAAGTGAAGACAAGTGTCACGTTTTGCCAAAGGAAAGAATGTACAGAAAATGCGGCACTGAGTATCTTTTTTCAAGTGTAATGAATCATGTGATTTTGCAGATTTATTACACAGGTAATGTAAGTTGATGATCATATTGGGGCAATTAGAAGATGGGAAAATTTTCGGGTTTTGGAGAAAATATTAGGTGCAGTAATTACACTGGATTTAATTTATATTTCCTACTCATTATTACAAGTATTTACAAATTAAATTTTCCATTATACAGTGAATCTTTTTTTCATATGATTGGTTTGTTGCATTAAAAAAAATAATCATTAGGTGACGCAGGTATATTGTACTGTCAATTTCTTTCACAAGTGACTTGTTGCATGAGAAAGTATGGAGTAAATGATGCACCTAATCTTAGTTTGTAAGAGAATATCACAGTGGAATGGTTACTCCAAATTTAATCACATCATTTACTTATTCACTTGCATCGAGAGTTAGAGAATACATCGAGTTTATAATGATGAATCATAGATAAAACACAAAAAAAAGAGTTGAGAAATAGTTTGATGCCTTGTTTCATTTTAATTTATTTTTGTTGAGTCGAAGGATTTAAAGCACTAATTCAAATGTAAGGATTTGAATTAGTCTATCATAATGAAAATATGTGATAAGACAACAGTTTTTAAAAATTTATCTTGAAAATAGGAAGGTTGGGAATGAGGTAACGAGGAGATAGACCAATTGGCTGAAGAAACAGAAAAATTGGCAAGGAAAAATAAGGAAAGGAAGATAGAAATTAATCTGTGCAAGGTGTCACGTAGTTACGTAGGACCGAGAAACTAAAGTTGGATAAGAATCAGGAGAACGTTTTATTATATAGTAATAAGATATGATATGATGATACGGCAACGAGAGGAAGTAGTTCATGAGCAATGTATTTCAATGGTCCTGAGCTTTGAAGGTGTACAGTAATTGTTTATTACAATTTTATAAAAAATAAAAATCTTTAAGATAAGATTAATTGTTTTTGAAAGTTATTTTGATAGCAAAGAGATAATCCTTAAATATATAATAGTTGCAGCTGTTTCTTTAGGAGATCCTTTGGAAGGCCAGCCTGTCTCGGTCACCATCATTTTAATGGTTCTGAAATTGAGAGCCATCAAAGCGAAGTAAATAGCATCAATCTTTGGGCATCAAACATATTTGTGTAAACCAAACCAGTATTTGGGTCGGTTACTTCGGACGATGACTCAAATAGAGCATAGTCCAGGGAAACGTTGCTAGAGGAATCCCTGTAGGCATAGCAAGGGTATGTATCAACCATGAAAGGTGACTGATTCTCAGCAAGAAATTCCAGCAAGGGTCAAAGAAAGATTGCATGGCTACCATTGAAAGCCCCTGCTGAAGGTGGATATGACTGGGACAAAACACCCAAAGAATGAGTAGTGGAAACTTTGATTTTCTTGTGAAGACCAGCCTTTCTCAGAGCAATGAAAACATTCTGCATAGCAGGTACTACCATCGCAGAGACATTATTGGGAACCTCAGTGACTTCAGTACCAACTGTTATGTGTGTGATCATTGTGGCTGGATACTATGGAAGAATGTTGTTTCTTAACCAAGTATCAGCATTAGATTGAAATTGTGAGAATGGCAACAAGTTCCACTATTTGTAAAGGCCTTCAGAACTTGGATGTTAAGAGTCATAAATCCTCACATACTCAATGAAATCAATTGTACAGCTTTATCTGGTGTGGGAAGATCATCAGCATTTCTTCCATAGCAAACTCCAATTTTGCTCCGTTGGCACACTCCTGTCAAATTTTGTTTGTGAAGTCTCAGTAGAAAAAGAAAAATAACATTTAATCTGACTTACTTCTTGAATACTGGAACAGACAAAGAAAGAAAAAGTAAAAAAAGGAGTCCACAATCATTCATGTGCTTTCCAAACATCTTAACAATCAGAAATTTGCATCAGCATCAGAGCATGTGCTTTGAAGCCAAGCTCCAGTAAACTGCTTTAAGACCCAGTGCTATTGAGGTAGTGACTGTGATCTACTGACAAATGCATGGACTAATACAAGACATTGCGTACACCAATATCCAAGAATCATTGTTTGCATCTGAATAGTCTCTTACACTGCATTTGTTCGAAGGTGAACATTAATTTCCCCCATCATCTAGGTACATCAACTACTCTTAAGTGCAGAATTCAGGAATTCAGCTGGTACCACACACAAAAGGACTATTAAGGCAATAAAATAACACCAAAAGAAACAATAGCAGTGTTTTATATTGCTCGTCATAGAAAATAAACCACATAAAACCCTGCAGACAAATTAGCAAAGACATCGTATGATACCTTCGAAAGTACAAGAAAACACTTCCTACAGATGTAAAGATAAACCACATAAAACCCTGCAGACAAATTAGACATGTCCAGGTTTTGAATGATTAATTTTCTTAGATGCTCACACTTCAAATTGTGCTGTGCATTAAATAATGTCATCGTCTCTTCAAATTCAAATAAAGTTCAACCAACACGGAATGGAGACCAACATAAACAAGCCAAAAGAAATTTAAAAAATAGTTGTGCTTTGTGAAAGTAAAAAAGCTCAAGCCTGGCTTATTTGATGAAGATAAGCAAATACAGTCATGAAAAGCAAGAAAAGCTGAAACTGAAATTTAAAATCCCAAGGCTGAAAAAGATCTGATGAAAATTTTGATAGCAGAAACTTTCATAGTTAAACAAAACCATCAATTGAATGATGAGTGGCACTATCGGCATGACTGGAAAGCAAAAACAATCAAAAGTGCTTTAAGCAACACTGGAACAACATAAACTGAGAAACACAGTTTTTGGACATTATAACTCCAAGACTCCAATTAGCACAATCTAATCTGCCTTCAGGAACCAAAAACCAAAAAAGGTACCAACTACCTTTTAGCAGTTTGATTTTCATCTTATGAACATTGGATTATGTGATAGCTGCATACTGTCAATTAGATTTCTTGAAGATAATGAAACGTAATTTAATAAGCTAATCCCTCTTTTTCCCTTATATTCTTACCTTCATTCCCAATGGAGAAACAAAAGAAGTAACGCAATTCTACCAATCAGACAATCAGCAAAACAAATCCAAAGAAGCAAAAAAGAAGCAAAGTTCTTTTTTGTCATTTTGAGCTCAGGTTAAAACCAATTAAGATGAAAGGACACATGAGAGAAGACTTAAGGTTTTAGCATAATTTAACACATTAGATTAGGTGTATTTGAGTACATTAACTTATTAGTGAACATCATCTTCCGGTCCATAAAATGGAAAGGTCAATGGAAATGAAGGGATCAGTACTTTCCTTTTAAAACAAGCAAAATATTTGTTTTAGAGCATCGCAGAGCAGGTGTTTTGATTCCATTTGCAAAAGAAATTTGCAGGCAATCAAACAACAGTGTTAGATAGATAGATAGATAGGGAGGGAGGGAGAATTTAGGGATGTCAAACTTAAAAATTGAAAATAGGCTTAGAACAAACTTCAGAAACTATTACCCTACTAATACTTATTCTTTTCAGCTAAAAATTGAATCAAAATCATTAAATACATCACAGCTGAACTGTGTATCTTGAATGATGACCAAAAAACTAAAGAAAGATAACTACGCATACACAGAGAGAGCCATTGGCATCTATGTAGACCAAATTGTAGGTTCTGGCAAGAAGGGAGGACATATCTGATATTATTGAGTACATATTACTCTTATACCTGTCTATTTCTCCAACCTTTTAATCTTCGCATATAAAAAATTTCAAAACGTATTGTCTATACTACTACTCTGCAAACGAAGAGAAACACAAGCTTGTCAACTATAAACTGCAAAGGCTTTAAAAGAATTGAATAAAATTCTACCACCAGCAAAATTTAACATAAACTGAACAAAGGGGTCATAAAGAAAACAGAAACTCACATACCACTGGATTAATCAGATTTAGTTTAAAACAGAAAACAAATATTTCCAACTAACTAATATTCACAACAAGTGAATACTGTCAAAGGTCAGGATTAGGCATGCCAAAAAAAATTGCAAGTCTTTTCTGATTGGAAAGGAAGACATACATGCGGTCAAACAACCACCCAGCTCATTTGCCTGTTAGCAGCCTGTTTCAGCTTAGCAAGGACCAATTCTTCAAATTTGCTATGATCGGCAGGTTCTGGTTGTGGAGGAGGAGGAGGAGGGGAGGAATCCAGTGGCTGAACCAACAAAGGATTTGACACATCACCGAGCACACTCCAACAGGCAGCAACAGCTGAATCCTTGTACGCCATCACTACTAGAGCTGAACAACCCCCATTCCCATTTTTCTTCTTCTTGCTGACCAAAACCTCCTCAACTTCCCCAAATTTCTCAAACAACATCCGCAACCTATCCGCCGTGTAAGCACCATAAGAATTAGGGTTACAGCTATTCTCCCAAGACACTCTCAGTACCCTAGCCCTATCCTGTTGTGGTACAGAACTGGAAAATGTTACTGGAATGGAATTACTGGAATTAAATTGTAAAACGAAATCTGAACTTAGGCTGGATTGAATTTCTCAAATCAACTTAACTTGTATTGAATAACCTTCAAAAGGGTACAGAAATGGAAATGGCGGGAAAAAGGAAGAAGGGGAAGAAGAAATGCAGGAAGTAATTTGGGAAAGGAACAAAAGATATTCTCCTCTGTGATTACAAGATTCAAAATTATCAATGCCCAACAATTACATGATTTTTCCTTTTTATAGAAAACTAATCTAACTAACTCCTTCCACTTGCTAATGAAACGGCAATCCACGTGAGAGGGAATATTCTGGAATGACTGGTCCCAACCATCAGCAAGAACAGCATGAACCCAGAAAAGGCGTGCTCTTTCTGCTCACGCCTCTCGCCTTCCTTGCGCCTTCACCTTTTCTGTTTCCACGCCTTTGTCCTCTTAGTGCCCCATTACTGAGCGTTCTTCCTAGTTCACGTCTTCTCTATTCTTCTTCGTGCTTGATCACGCTTTCCTTTAGTTTTACTTCACGCCTTCTTTCCTTCTGCTACTCCCTAGCTTCCTGTTTCATTACATATCCAAAGGAGGTTTTTTAGTGGCCGCCATCATCTCACGAATTTTCGCAATCTCACCCTTCAGTTTCTCGGCAATCGTACTCTCCTCCGCCCTCCGAACAAGTTCCTCATCAGAACAACGGCGCTCTCGGACCTGCAAATCAGCCATCATCTTCTGGCGCTTGGGATCGTTCTTCACATTCTCCAATCGTGGCCGCCTCCGGCAGCAGCGGCTCAACAGGAGAGTGTCGAACTGGCGCCGAGCCTCGACATCCTTGAGAACCAAGTAACATTCCTTGAGTTTCTGAAAATCTGAACGCGCGGCCGCCGGATCATCATCGGGTCGTTTGTCGGGATGGAGAAGCAAGGCCTTGGACTTGTACGCCTTCTTGATCTCTTTCTCCGACAACCTAGTTCCGGCTTCTCCGGTCGGAAGCCCTAATACAAGATAGTGGTCTACGAACTCTATGCCGCTGGCCAGAATAGCCAATTTGGAATAATAATACCTAATAGCTCTCACAGATTAATATCCTCTCAAACATACCTTAATTACTGATTTTAATCAGCCCCATCCTTTAGGAAGTAGAATTCCTTATTTCAAGGTTTCATCAGTTTGCAATCGGATAAACGACCTTTTTGTTTGGACAACGGATAGTTGAGTGCAAGGTTATAAAATCGGGATCGTAAGTAGGATAGTAGGATTTTAGTTTCACGTAATCAGTAGGATCCCACGAAACCCCGTAAATTTACTAAATTAATAAATTTAAAATTTATATATAATTTTGTACATTCTAAAAGATATCAAATAAATAAATTACTCATAAATATATAGCATTTTTTACCTATTGTCTGACAAGTATTTGAAATTCATTTATACTATTTTATTTTCTTTTCACAATTATAGCCATTGCAAAGTAATACTATGAGAAAAGCCAGGCTAAATGTTGATTTGAGCTTAAAATTTAGAAGAAATTGGATTTTTCAAACTTGTTAACAAAAAGTTCAAAAGCATACGTCCGTCCACAGCAGCCCATCTTTCTGGTCTAAATAGGAAAATCTAGGCAATTAATGCACCTTTCTAGCTTAAGAAAAAAATAAAGGCCAAGAAATCATAAGTTCAAACGAGACCCAATACTTTTCGACTTTTCGGCCAAAGGAATGTGCTTCCAAGGGATGAGCTTCTTGGACACAAAGTCACCTTACAACTTTGTCTAAGAAGATGAAAAATTTATCTGCTGAAATAAAGTAAACACTCGAAGTTCTCAAGATATCAGAAATTCAGTCTTGCATGAAATGCTTAACTATTGCAATCAATAGTAAGCAAACAATAATATATATGAGCTGAAGCACTCTGTGTTTGGTAACTGCAAATTCCACTTGATGACATTTAGACAAATCAACGTTATAAAGAGATAGACAAATCAAAATCATATTGTTGAGAGTAAAAAGATCCAATCGAACAATTGAAAAGATTCAAAAACAAAAAAAAAAGGAAAGAAAACGGTGTCAAATTAGGGCATTCAAAGCTAGAATAGTAAGTGTAAACTTGTGTAGAATTTGAAACAAATTCTTTCCGTTGTTCAAATGTTGGTACTTGGTATTGGGTAGAAGCTACAGCGATTTCATCTTGTTGGTTAGAGCTGCAGCGGTGGAGAAGAAGTGAAAACTGAAAAATGAAGGTTGAAGTGAAGAATGAAGAAACGAGTCAAAGACAGAGAACTGACCCACTGAGTAGAGGAAAAGAATAGGAGCTTTTTTGACTTTTTGACGCAAAAATTGTTAAAAAATTGCAATTAAAGGCTGCAATTCTTTGATAAATTACAAACCTACCACAAATGTTTTGATTTACTTGCAAAATGGAGCCTTGTATTTCACAAATTTGCAAAAAATTGTAGGATCACAGTAGGATCGTACGATCCTACACGATCCTACCGATCCTACTCGATCCTATGTAGATTAATACAATTTGCGACTCTGAATATGATCGATCGATTTTGGTTATCTGAATCGTACGATCCTACGATCCTACGATTCGGATCGCGATTTTGACAACACTGAACTTGAGTGTAAACTAATCACTTACATTTAAAAGGGCACTGTAGAAACAACGTATTAAAGCGCGTCTGACCGTGTTGTTAAGCATTTGTATTACACTTTTTCTCTTTCATATTTACCCCTCCAGATGTTAAATGAAAGTTATCCAAAAGTTAGCTGCAAAGTGCTTTTTATATATGTATAGGATATATATATATATCCTTTATATATATAAGAAGCACTTGGCGCTTCTACTGTTACTGGAATTTCAAGTGCATCCGATTGCTTCAGGCTATTGGACTTTCGTGTGCATTGATCTGGCTTTATGCGTTGTAAATTGTACTTGGGAAGGTTTTGCTCCACTTTTCCTTTATAGGGAGGACTCCTGCTCAATTGGTTGTGGACTGTGGACTCCACTTTGATTATTTGTATATATATAAAACTACAGCCATTATGGAAGAGTAATGAATCTATTGGCTCCATTGACTTAGCAAATTGACATATGAAATTAAATTCTCACACTGGCCTCATGAAAATTTTCCTTGGCTAGGAAATTGAAGTTTTGGAATTAATGCTTTTATTTCATAAATGATATCATTCTTGCGAATTTTCTCTTTTCTAAATTTCTGAAATGATTATTCAAAAGTATCTATTATCGTGTAAATACTAATTTTAGTCCTAACCACAAGTTTCATGGATTTTTATAAAGGTTCTATTTTAATTGTTGAGACATGCTCAAAATGTCTTCTACTTAACTTTTGCCATTATGTCTTTCTGATTTACTGTTGCGAAAACTGCACGGCACCCTGTTGATGAGAACCACTTGGAGAATCTTTATTTTAGAGGTGGGCTGTGGCTAAACTAGACATTGCATTAATCATCTTTTTGTTTTGGGATAATTTCAGAAACCTCCCCTGAGGTTTCTGACATTTACACTTACCTCCCCTGTGGTTTGAATAATTACACTGACCTCCCCTGAGGTTACTAATCCTTTACAAATTCAGTCCAAATGATTAAAATATTATTTTAGAGAGTGAAATTAGAATTTTGTACCTGATTTGTCCTTTGTGCCATATGTCCAATGAATGGCAAAGTATTACAAATTAATTAACAATTAATAAACTTTAACGAGCGCAGTTTATAGGCAAATACGTATTGTCTATTTAAAGTACCAATTCTTTACATGTATTTTACTTTCAAACATTTACTTTATTACAAATATTTATTCTCAAATACAGATTTGTATTTACTCTCAAATATTTAATTTTTGTTAAACACAAAACCTACCAGATTTTCTTCCGTAGAAATATTAATATAACACTTTTTCAATTTTAATTATAAATATTTTTTTATTTAACATAAATTAAATGATTCAAGATAAAATATCCATAAAGAGCCAATACTTTACTCATATAATGGATGAAAATCATAAAAAATTAATAGTTTATGAGGCCATTTATTTTTTAAATAATATTTAATTTATATTAAATAGATAACCTATTGATTTTTTTTGCAAGAATATTACTTTAACACTTTTTAATTTTTAATTACAAATGTTAATATATTTATCATAAATTAAATATTTGAAAATAAAATATCTGTAAAGAGCCGATACTTTAAATAGGATATGAGTATTTGCCTATAAACTACACTATTTAAAGTAAGGAGTATAGTTTATTGATTTAAGTTAAGGAGTGTAGTTTATTGATTTAAGTAAGGAGTGTAGTTTATAGGCAAATACGCATAACTTATTTAAAGTGCCGGCTCTTTACAGGTATTTTATTTTTAAATATTTAATTTACAATAAAATATATCAATATTTGTAATTAAAAATTAAAAGGTGTTACTATTCTTGGAAAAAGAAAATCGATAGGTTATCTATTTAATATAAATTAAAATTAAAAAAAAAAAGAAATGGCCTATAAAATGTTAATTTTTTATGGCTTTCATCCATTACATGAGTAAAGTTTTAGCTCTTTATGAGTATTTTATTCTGAATCATTTAATTTATGTTAAATACATAAATATTTGTAACTGAAATTGAAAAAAATGTTATATTAATATTTCTACGGAAGAAAAACTGGTAGGTTTTGTGTTTAACAAAAATTAAATATTTGAGAGTAAATACAAATCTGTATTTGAGAATAAATATTTGTGATAAAGTAAATGTTTGAAAATAAAATTCATGTAAAGAGCTGGTACTTTAAATAGGCAATACGTATTTGCCTATAAACTACGCTCGTTAAAGTTTATTAATTGTTAATTAATTTGTAATACTTTGCCATTCATTGGACATGTGGCACAAAGGACAAATCAGGTACAAAATTCTAATTTCACTCTCTAAAATAATATTTTAATCATTTGGACTGAATTTGTAAAGGATTAGTAACCTCAGGGGAGGTCAGTGTAATTGTTCAAACCACAGGGGAGGTAAGTGTAAATGTCAGAAACCTCAGGGGAGGTTTCTAAAATTATCCCTTTTGTTTTTTCGCTCCATTATTATAAGAGGATTACCTGTTTTGTTTCACTTGAGATCTTCGGTTACATTTTTTTAGTGCCAATCCAATGCCATCACTAGAATTGTGCCAAGTGTCTTGTTGTCATTAGCACTTTAGTTTTTTATTAACTCAAATTGGTTCAAAGTTAACACAAGTTTTCTTATTCTCTAAAACTCTGAACCAAAAGGCACCCGACCAGTCTAACTCCTACATCAATAACTTTGTATGGCTGCTGCTTTGGGGAAAAAGAATAAGAAAACCCTCTGTTTCCAATGATTGCCTTCAAACTCTTTCGTGCTTGATTGCTTTTAAAAAAGCCAAACCCTCTGTTTCCGCCAAACTTCAATGACGATGTCCTTCTCTTGCCGATATACCTGAATGTATGAAGCTTGCCCTTATTCTCTTTGGTCAGATGTATCATATCTATTCCTAGAATGTATGTTCCTGAATGTATAAACCAATTTGAGTTAATAAAAAACTAAAGTGCTAATGACAACAAGACACTTGGCATAATTCTAGTGGTGGCATTGGATTGCCACTAGAAAAATGTAAACGAAAATCTCAAGTGGTTTTGTTTTTGTTGACACTTTTATTATTGTTGTTGTTATTATTATTATTATTATATATATTTTTTATTTTTAGTATAAGTAGGAGGCCTTGAACTTGAAATTTCTCATTTACGCTCCATCTTCTGTACCATCCAATCCATCTCTCTCTCAAATTATCTGTTTTGTTGTTATTGCATAACCTAATTTCTTTGACCTTCATTTTTTTCCTTTTTAAATTCCATTGCATCGGGGTCTCCCATGAGAAAACATTCAATGTCAATTTTACCTAAAACAGTTTGAAGACTTTTGCTAGCTTGAAGCTAAACCATAAAGATGAAATGCTTTCTTGCTTTTGACATCTGAAGATATGTGGTAGCATTACTCAAAAGAAAGGAAATTATACTAAAAAAATCCATAAACAAGCCAAATATGTATGATAAAGT